TTTTTTTTACAGAGACTAAAGTTCATTATTGGTCACCAGGGGCTGGAGGGATGTGGGAAAGAGAACCAACGGCAATGGAAAAATCTCACTGATCAAGGGTAGGGCTGCACAGCCAACCACTGCAACTGATGTCAACAGTTGATGGCAAAAGTTGCGTGACAGATACACTCACAACAACAACCAAAAAAGAAAAAAAAGGGGAGCTGCTGAGACTGCTCATGCACAACCATAAACCTCATGGGACTTGGTTCCTTAGACTGGAGGTCCAGGACCATGGCCTCATGGGACAGTCCAGTCAAGTGGCCCAACAATGTGTCTAATGCTTCTACTCTACCTGCTAGTTCGTTGCACAGTGCCTGGGATCCTAAAAGCCTGCAAGCGGCCATCCAAGATGTGACCAAAACAAGACAGAAAAAACCCATTGCTGTTGAGTCGATTCTGATTCATAGCGACCCTGTAGGACAGAGTAGAACTACCCCATAGAGTTTCCAAGGCCATAATCTTTATGGAAGCAGACTGCCACATCTTTCTCCCACCATCGGCTGGTGAGTTCGAAATGCCAACCTTTTGGTTAGCAGCGGAGTGCTTAACCACTGTACCACTCGGGCTCCTTCAAGGCACGACAGTTGGTGCCTGTTTGCTTCATGAGGGGACACTGGTCTAGTTGCACTGAAGCTTTCTTCAACATCAGGAAGCCCAGCATAGATACTATGTTTCCTTTTTAAATTTTTTCCCATACAGAAGTTTATACATATGTTGTTATGTGACTCTAATTGCTCTCCCCCTACAGTGACAGCACACTCAGCACACTCCTCCCTTCCATCCCGACTCCCCATGTCCATTCAACCAGCTGCTAACCCTCTCCGCCCTCCTATCTCACCTCCAGACAGAAGCCGCACATCTAGTCTCCTGTATCTACCTGAGCCAAGAGGCACACTCCTCACGAATATCACTCCATATCCCACAGTCCAGTCCAATCCCTGTCTGAAGAGTTGGTCTTGGAAATTGTTTTAGTCTGGGCTGATAGAAAATCCAGGGGCCATGCTTTCCGGGGTACCTCCAGTCTCAGTCAGACCATCAAGTCTGGTCTTCTTACTAGAATTTGAGTTCTGCACCCCACCTATCTCCTGCTCCTTCAGGGACTCTCTGTTGTGTTCCCTGTCAGGATGTTCATTGGTGGTAGCCGGGCACCACCTAGTTCTTCTGGTCTCAGGCTGATGAAGTCTCTGGTTTATGTGGCCCAGTCTGTCTCTTGGGCCAGTGCTTTCCTTTTGTCTTTGGTGTTTTTTGTTCTCCTTTACTCCAAGTGGTTGGGACCAATTGATGCATCTTAGATGGCCGCTTGCAAGCTTTTAAGACCCCAGATGCCACTCACCAAAGTAGGATGCAGAACATTTTCTTAATAAGCTTTGTTATGCCAATTGACCTAGATGTCCCCTGAAAGCATGGTCCCTACGCCCCTGCCACTCTGTCCCTCAAAATGTTTGTATTCAGGAAACTTCTTAGCTTTGGTTTAGTCCAGATACTAAGATATTTTAAATACATCTCGTGTAATCTTTTTACTACCATTTTTTATCTCTACATTAATTAAATAGTTAAATTAATCTATATGTTGTTTTGCAAGACCTTCCGCTTTTATAAATGCTGGAAGCAGCTTCCATTTTTCCTCCATGGTTGGGATTGGAGCAACAAGCTGCTCTGGAGTTAGGTTCCTAAACTTCTCTGCTAGCACGTCTGTCCTGCCTGTGCTGCTCACAATAAAAAAAAAAAAAAAGCAGCAGACAGAACCCTCACACCTGCCTTTGCTGGCCCAAGCAAACTGCCAGGGAATGGTTTTGATTTAAGGTTTAAAGATTATCTCAGGGGAATAGTTACAGGGGTCATACAGCCTCCATGGCTCTAGAAAGTCTAGAGTCCATGAGAATTTGAAATTCTGTTCTTCATTTTCCTTCTTTTGATCAGGATTCTTCTATAGAGTCTGTGATCAAAACATTCAGTAATGTTAGCTGGGCACCATCTTCAGATCTCATGGCAAAGGAGGCAATTGTTCATGGAGGCGATTAGCCACACATTCCATTTGACTATGAGTTAATCATTATTGGAGCTAAGTTACTGGGTATATAAGGGTAAATTATACTAATTGTTCTACCTTTGCATATTTTTGAAATTTTTCACAACAAAAAGCTAGAACAATTTTTTTCCCCAGAGGTCGGAGTTGCCCAATTTACTTCACCCCCAGGAGAGAGAACACAAGCCCTATCCAGTGAGTCACTGCATCGGCTCATAATCCAGCATTGAATGGTGGGGTCCAGTAGTGTTATTGGTCTGGTGACTGAACTAAAGGGAGGTTACTTGTCATCCTTCTCCAAGATGGAGACAGGGTAACCAAAGTAAGCTTTCCCATTCAGACGGGAATGATGGGAAAAACACAGCAGGATTTTGACCCATCTCTGTCCTGGGTGGGAATTTGAGACCTCTCTGGGCTTAGATGGAGCTGTGTCCTGACAGGCTTCACTGTAGACTGGGCAGGTGGGGGACATAATGAGGAGAGTTCCACTCTAGGGGTCAGTATTTACATTGGAAGCTTAAATTAACTCAGAGGGCCTATTTGTTTTATTTAAATATACACCTTTTAGTGTGTAGACCGGGGTATGGCCAGGCTCTCTTTAGATGGGCCCAGGAGTGGAGTGCAGACCTTCAGTTTCTGTTAACATCCCTAGATCTTGCTGTCACCTACCATCCCATATGTCAGGTCTCAGCCCATAGCTTCTCCAGGGTCTCAGAGAGCAGAGGGCTCCCACTTCCCCTAGAGACTTCCCAAAGCATAGAATTGGGTGTATTTCTTTCCTCTGTTTTATTTCATTCATTTTAGTTCTTCAGTCCACTTTCTCCTCCAGGAATTCATTGAAATCTCAGATGCAATGATGATCCCTGTTGCTGCCTTTTCTAAGACCATGGTTTTGTTCCTTACTGTACATGTTCACATTCTTTTCAGTGGGATATTGAAGTGAAAGACATGGGCTCCTTCTGCCGTCTTCAACGGGAAGTTTTGAGTTTTGAGAGACTGAGCTGGTATTACAACACAGAAGCAGTAGTTGCAACACTTTTGTTTTGTCTGTTTGTGGTAAAGGAACAAAAATAGTTTCTCTTGGTTGGCTGTGGGTCCTCGGTCCGGCAGAGCTAATCGTCCTGTATTGAGATGCTTGAAAGCTTTATTAAAAATGTTTGGATCCCCACGAAGCCCTACTACACTCTAGTTTACCAGGAGATTTGGGTAGGAATGGGTTTGATGGGTTTCATCATATAAGATCAGAAGTGCTGATAAAAGAAGTAAAGCTTTGAAAACTTCAAGCCCTGCACCTGCCCACGGTCACCATGAAGCAGCTTCATGTGGTTCCCATCAGATGAGACGTCAGTCTGGCTATAAATTTAAGCAAGTAGTGTTAGGTACAGGAACATGGCTGTCCACTTGCACCATTTACTTGGTGGCATGAATAAACGTGTGTGAGTTTGGGGAAAAAAATCGTTCTTTTTGATTGGTTGATGACTGTAAAAATGGCACCAAGTGTAAAAATGGCTTGGTGGCAGTGTCAGACATCCTCTTAACTTCACGAGGGGGAGAGAGAATCAGCATCAGCCCAAGGCTGATTCCTGCGAAGTAGAGGTCAGATATACCTCATATCCAACCTTTTACCAATTCTTACACCAGCTGTCCCTCCCACAACACTCTCTACTCCTCTGCTGGGTTCGAGATTCGTTGCAATGGCCACACACAACTCACAGACCATACTCACGATTATGGGGTTTTTTTGGGAAGTAACAGATTACAATTCAGGATTAGGAATGACTCAGGATACAATTCTTTGGTCAGAACAGCTTCTTGGCCGTGCTCACAAGCAAACCTTTCCCTGGCCTTCAGCCTCTTGGCCCTTTGGGCATCTTGGGCCAGCCCAGCCTCTGCCCTACTTAGGTAAGTGTTAGTTACAAAGCTCTTCAGCTCCACCGATGAGTGCCCAGAGGTACCCCACTCCATTAGTAAGCCTTGGCCCGAGTCGCTCAGCTCTTTAGCTGAATGAGTCAGTGAGCCTGGCTCTCCCAAGTGCCCGGAGGCCCCTACTCCACCAGCAAGCCTCCTGCCCTAAGGCACTCAGCTTTCTTGCTGTATGGGCCAGGAACCCCACCGTGCCGTCTTCTGCTGGTCTCCTGGTTCTGCTGCCTCTGCTGCCGCTGTTTCTTGCCGTCCCTGGTGTTACAGCTCTTTCTCTGTCTCTGGGTCTAGGAGGTTCCCAGCACAGTGATCCTGGGTCCAAAGGACGTACTCTACTCCTAGCTCTTCTTTCTTGGTGGTAGTGAGGTTTCCCCCCTGCCCCCCACCTCTGGGATGGGTCATTTTAAGCCTAAGTGGATGGCAGAACTGACCAATCTCCTTATTAGGGTTTCATACACCTTATTTGCATGGTTCTCCCCCTCCCAAGGGTACCAGGCACCTTATTTGCATTATTATTAAGCTATCCAATCCCCTTAGTGGGCCACAAGTACCTCATTTGTATAGTTCCTCCCAGTCATTTGGTGGGAGTTGCAAGACCATGGCAAGAAAGACCATATAAAAGCGATCCATTGCACCACAATGACACTGGCGAATTCTAGGCCTCTGCTCTTGGTATTCAGAAGGATGAGGGCTGACAGGTGACCCTGTGTTTGATTGCAGATGGTTAACAGAGGAGAGAATAATCAAGGTAGCACCAGTAAAAGATCCAGGAGAGTGTGATGTGCTACAATAGAATGTAACGGGCAAGTTTTGAGAAGAAAGAAGTCAGTGTCAAATGCCATGGAGGTGTTAGAATAAGAAGGAGATATGGTTTATCCTATCTGCATGTACCAGTATTTCCCCCAGTGGTCCAGTAATTATTTATGGAAGGGTGTATATTCTCAGAAGGTGACAGGGCCTATTTTTTTTTTATGAACAGTGAGCCTTTCTACATACATTTGCCATTTTATGGACTTTTCTAAGCCTTTATGTTTAGCCTCTATTACCTTATGAAGAAACTAGCACTATGTGTTTATAACTTGTTTCTTTAAACATACAGCCAAATGTTGGGCTTCTGTACCAGAGTAGTTTCTGCCTTGTTTCAACTGCAAGTGACTGAAAACCAAAAATAATAGTGGCTTAAACAAGATAGCAGTATATTTGTCTCATGTGAAAGAAGTCTGGAGATAGGCGTTTCAGAAGCTTCACAGTGTTAAGGATTCAGGTTCTTTCTGTCTTGGCCGTTCCACCATCCTGAAAATGTGGCTTCCATTTCTGGTCCGGGATGGCTGCTGGAATTCTAGTCATTACATCTGGATTTCAGTCAGCAGAAAGGAAGAAAGGAGAAAGAAGAGCTCAGCTCCTTGTCTTTAAGGACGCTTTCCTAGAAAACGCACTCACTATTTCTACTTACATCCCGTTGGCCAGAATTCAGTCATGTATCCTTGCCAGCTGCAGGAGAAGCTGGGAAATATCTTTTCTGGTTGGCCATGTGCCCAGCTAAGCATTGGGGTTCCTTATTACACTGGAGGAAAAGGAGAATAGATGTTGGGGGACAACCAGCAGTCTCTGAGAATTTCTGAAGGCCTGAAGATACCATGCGAACAATTGACGGGGGAGCTAAAAAGCAATAAGGAAGAAGGCTGGAGAAGAGAAGGGTGAAAGTAGACAAGGTCACTTTTGGTTGCTGAGGGTCTTCACTAGTGGTGGCAAGCAGTTGGTTCCCTGATAGTGAGGCAGAAAGAAAAGAGGGACTGTTTTGCAGGTTTGGGGATGGGAAAGAGGGGGCTGGGTACAGGCTCAGGCAGCTGCATGCTCCTCCATGGTGGAGCCCCAGAGAGCACAGGCCTGAGGGTCTTTTAATGTATTTCACATAGCACTTTCACAAATGTTTGGTAAACAAAGGAATAAATATGTAGAAAACCATCCCAGTAGCTCCCAAGTATGTTCAGCCTCACTTTTCTAAAAGTAGAGGAAAAAACAGTTTCCTCAGCTGCAGGTCCCGCATCATCTAATTTGTGCGTCTTGGTCTCTCTCTGGGACAGAGCAGTAATTGTTATCTGAAATGATAATCTTGAATTCTTAAGAAATTGTTTGGAAGTGCCCTGTTGAAGATAGCCAGAAATGGCACTGCTTTAACAAGATGACTTTGGATACGAGTTATCATTGCACATGCACATTGCAACAGCAATGATGTTTTCTAAATGTAGAAAAAGTAACTTGCTGGAGGTGGCACAGGTAGCTGGCTGGGCCTGGACTGAAACCCAGGCATCCTGCTGCCTGCACAACCTAAGGAGGGTGCCATGGTTAAGCTCTTACCACTCCGCATGGCAGTTCTCTCCGGAAATAAACCAGTTATTAATAAATACAGCTTGGTACCCGTTGTTGTCGAGTTGATTCCGACTCATAGAGACCCCGTAGGACAGAGTAGAGCTGCCCCTTAGGGTTTCCAGGGAGCGGCTGGTGGATTTGAATTGCCACCCTTTTGGTTAGCAGCGGAACTCTTAACCACTGCGCCACCAGGGCTCCTAATAATTTAGTGGGCTCTTCAAAATAAGAGGTTTTTGGTGGAAGAATGTTGAAATGCAAGTCTAGACCAGCCCCCTGTTGTTATATGTGGAAACCGAGGCCCAGGGAGACTGGCTGGCTGGCAGTTTTAGTTGCATCTGGCCAGTTTTTTCCATGGACCGAACTCCGAAGGCATAAATCATCTGTTTTCTCTATTTCCTCTGCTGCTGGTTTATAACGTCCCCATCCTGCTTAAAGTGTGAGAATAGCTTATAGATGCCCAGGGAACCCCCTTCATTGCTGATCTTTTGGCTAAGAGTCTTCCCCTACTATCTGGTCTGTGCCATGCTTGGGCTGACGTCTGTCCCTGCCTATATTTTTGGGAGAGCAAGAGCCACATGAGCTTAGTTTTATCACAGGGATGTCAGCTAAGTGCTGAGAGTTTCTCTTGGATGGTTGCCTTTTTTTTAATCTCTTACCTGTTCCACAGAATTCCCTGCAGAGAGAATTTTCAATTTGCACCTGGTGGTCTGTTAAAAATGTGCTGCTCGGGTAGCTATTTTGAGAACTTCTGACCAAGAACCATTTCTTCCAGCGATAGCAGCCTCTCCTAGGGACTTTTCATCAGACAAGTGCCAGTGTCGCTGACGTTTTTCCTGAGGGTCCTGCTTGAGGCCAGTGAGCAGTAGTTAGAGACAGCTTGTTTCCTGGATCTCCAGGAAGAGTTCTCTCGTTCAGTGGGTTTGGTGTTAGAACACATGACCCCTACGTTTCTTATTGGTCTTAAAATATCCAAAACACTAGAGTAAGTCACCCATTTGAGAGCTGAAGAAACAAAGACTTTGTGGCCAAGGGATCAAAAAGAAGATGGAAAACCATGGTCGTTTGAGCATTCTTCAGGGCCCTTCCTTTTCGGGGGAACTTGGCCCAGGATGTCCAGCCTTCATTGGATCACTAATCCCTCTTTAGCTTTGATGAGTTCAGTATAGGGCTTGTGGTTGTGAGTTCAGTATAGGGCTTGTGGTTCTGGCTTTGAACATCTCATGTTCCCTCATACATTCATTTGTGTGTGACTTTAGGGTTCACTTATCCTGAGGTATTCAGGATTGGAGGAAGACTCATTAACAACCTGTGATATGCCGATGACACAACTTTCCTTGCTGAAAGTGAAGAGGATGAAGATCAAAGACTGCAGCCTTCAGTATGGATTACTCCTTAACATAAAACAGAAGTCTTCACAATTGGACAATAGGCAACATCTTGATAAGTGGAAAAAATATTGAAGTTGTCAAGGATTTCATTTTACTTGATCCATGATCAACGCCCATGGAAGCAGCAGTCAAGAAATCAAATGACATATTACATCAGGCAAATCTGCTGCAAAGACCTCTTTAAAGCATTAAAAAGCAAAGATGTCAGTTCGAGGACTAGGGTGTCCTGACCCAAGCCATGGTTTTTTCATTTGCCTTGTATACATGCGAAAGCTGGACAGTGAATAAGGGAGATTGAAGAAGAATTGATGTCTTTGAATTATGGTGTTGGAGAAGACTGTTGAACATACCATGAACTGCCAGAAGAACGAACAGATTTGTCTTGGAAGAAGTACAGCCAGCATGCTCCTTAGAAGTGAAGATGGCAAGACTTCATCTCACACACTTTGGACATGTTATCAGGAGGGGATCAGTCCCTGAAGAAAGGGCATCATGTTTGGTAAAGCAGAGGGTCAACGAAAAGGAGAAAGACCCTCAGTGAGATGGATTGATAACAGTGGCTGCCACAACGGACTAAAACAGCAATGATCATGAAGATGGCGCAGGACCGGGCAGTGTTTTGTTCTGTTGTACATAGGGTTGCTGTGAGTCAGAACCAACTCATGGCACCTCACAACAACAACAACAGGCGGGGGCCAGCGTCCCTGGGTGGTACAAACGGTTAACACATTCGGCTGCTAACCAAAAGATTGGAGGCTTGAGTCCACCCAGATGCATCTCAGAAGAAAGGCTTTGTGATCTACTTCTGAAAAATTAGCCACTAAAAGCCAACTTTCTACTCTGACACACACGATGTTGCCATGAGTT